GTTTACAAGGGTTCAAAAGCCATTCCTCCATACATTCCCATGAGGAGGAACCGGGGTGTATACACAGTCATTATCTGCAATTTACAAAGCAATGGACACAAGCAAGAACCAACTGGTGAGCTTGGAATAACCTTCTCCCATGCTGTCAGACGCCAACCGCTTATGTCCTATTATGACAACTATTCAGCCCTGATTGAGCACTTACAGTGTGCCAGGCTCTGTGCTAAATGCATTCTATACATTGTCTCATTTAATCCTCCCACCTGAAGTGGTCATTATGATTATTATCCTGCTGGAGGAGGTTATGGAGAAGACATGACCACCCTTGACCCAAGAGCTGCCCCCCACACCGGCAACTGGAGACTCCTCGCCCCCTCCCCGGCTTTGAAATGTACAAGCATTTTCACAGTGAGAGCAGTTCCAAGGGCACAGCCTTGAAAGAGTAAGTCCTTACGGAGACCATCTGGAAGTATACATAACTGAACCCTGTTCAGGCCTCCATAAAAACTTTTTAAGATTCTGGCGGGCAGGTATGGAGTTCTACTGGTCTTGCAACCACCTATAAATTTCCTTGCTTATTACACCTGCCATCTGGAGCGACCTGACTCTTTGTCTCTCCTTCCTTCCTCTCTGCCTATGGGGGGCCGGTTTTGAATTTCACCCTGGGGAAGCTCCCAAAGTCTCAAACCAACATATCCCCATTTTACAGATGAGGTGACTGACACACAGAGAGGTTCAACAATTTCCCAGGGTGGGGAACGCCTGGGTGGCTCAGCTGGTTAATCATCTGCCCGCGGCTCAGGTCATGATCCCAGGGTCCTGCGATCGAGTCCTGCATCGGTCTCCTTGCTCAGCAGAGCGTGCTTGCATCTCCCTCTGCCTGCAGCTCCCCCCCTGCTTATGCTCTCACTCTCTCTGACAAATAAATAAAATCTTTAAAAAAATTATGGGGCGCCTGGGTGGCTCAGTCGGTTAAGCAGCTGCCTTCGGCTCAGGTCATGATCCCAGGGTCCTGGGATCGAGCCCCACATGGGGCTCCCTGCTCAGCGGAGAGCCTGCTTCTCCCTCTCCCTCTGTCTGCCGCTCTGCCTACTTACACTATCTCTGTTAAATAAATAAATAAATGAAATCTTAAAACACACACACACACACACACACACACACACACACACACACACACACAATTTCCCAGGGTGACAAAGCAACAAAGTGTTAAAGCTGGTTTGGACCCATTTAATCTGATTTCAAAACCCCCATTCTTCGCTGCTGTACTATACATATCTTCCATCCAAAAACTATAGTTAAAATTGAAGATAATACAACTTATACCGACAATGACCAGTTCTGCAATCTTCCCCCCACCTTTTTTTTTTTTAAGATTTTATTTATTCATTTGACACAGAGAGACACAGCGAGAGAGGGAACACAAGCAGGGGGAGTGGGAGAGGGAGAAGCCGGCTTCCCGCGGAGCAGGGAGCCCGATGCGGGGCTCGATCCCAGGACCCTGGGATCATGACCTGAGCCGAAGGCAGATGCTTAACGACTGAGCCGCCCAGGTGCCCCTTCCCCGCCCCCGCCTTTTAAATTCTTTGTAAGGGGTGTCTGGGTGGCTCAGTCGGTTAAGCATCTGCCTTCGGTTCAGGTCATGATCTCAGGGTCCTGGGATCGAGCCCCGCCTTGGGGAGCCTGCTTCTCCCTCTCCCTCTGCCTCTCACCCTGCTTGTGTGCTTTCTCTTTCTCTGTCAAACAAATAAATAAAATCTTTTAAAAAATTGTTTTTAAGTAACAGTGTTTAACATAAAATATTTAAATGTAGGTAGAAGTTAAAGCATGTCTTTTTTTTTAATTTTTATTTATTTCTAAAGTAATCTCTATGCCCCATGTGGCACTCAAACCCCTGACCCTGAGATCAAGAGTCTCATGGTCAACCAACGGAGCCATCCAGGAGCTCCAAGCATGGTTTCTTTTTAATGGGCCTCTTTTTATTTGCCTCCAGCATTTCATGCATTACAACTTTCATTGGCTAGGCAGTTGTTATTCCATAGAATCAATAGTACTGATTTTCACACTTCATTAATAAATAAATGGAGGTCCAACATGTTATGGTATGAATCCATAGATCCCAGGGAAGTTGAGAGGGAGTTCAAAAAAAGCCACTTGGATCAAAAAAGGTCAGGGGGCACCTGGGTGGCACAGTCGGTTAGGTGTCTGACTCTTGGTTTCAGCTCAGGTCAAGACCTTGGGGTTGTGGAATTGAGCCCTGTGTCAGGTTCCGCACTAGGCATGGAGTCTGCATGAGATTCTCTCTCCCTCTCCCTCTGCCCCTCCAGCTCATGCTCTCTCTCTCTCTCAAATAAATAAATAAATCTTAAAAAAAAAAGACTTAAAAAAAAGGTCAGGTTGCTGACATGAGTCCAGAGATCAAAGGCTTTCTAAAGGTAACAATCCTAGATTTATGATTCAAAAGGGGGACTCTGGATCAGTGCCTTAAGAATATTTCAAGTTTGGGGGCGCCTGGGTGGCTCAGATGGTTAAGCGTCTGCCTTCGGCTCAGGTCATGATCCCAGGGTCCTGGGATCGAGTCCCGCGTCGGGCTCCCTGCTCCTTGGGAGCCTGCTTCTCCCTCTGCTTCTCTCTCTCTCTCTCTCTCTCTCTCGTGAATAAATAAATAAAATCTTAAAAAAAAACTTTTAAAAAAAGACTATTTCAAGTTTGAATGGGGAAAAAACAGATTTGGCGATCCATTGCAAAAGAAGATCAGAAACTGTGGTCTTGTATGTGAACAGGAAGCAAAAGTCAGAGTCTTTGATGGTTTGGAACAGAGAAGATGAGAAAGCCTTTCTACCAGGCTTTTAACAGTTTGCAGCCTAAGACTCAGAAGGAAAAAAATTTCAGGAGCTAAAATGCTATAAATTAGGTGTTTGGTGTGATTTTCCTGTACATTTGAAAACTGTCCTAGCAAAATAAAAAGCTGTAAGAGAATTATTAGGGAACTGACCAACACGGCAGTTTGAGTCCAAAGTGTTGTTTTATGCAAAGCCTTGCGAAGGATGGAAGGATGGAATCTGTTGCTTCTACAGCTGTAGTAATAAAATAATCGAAGCAGCCGACACGTACTGAGCACTTACCTTGAGCTTGACATATATCTTCTTACTGAGTTTTTGCAATGGAGCCATAAGGTAGGTCCTATTATCGTCCCCATTTCAGAGAACAGAGGCAGAGTAAGGCTTCGAAACATGCCTCAAGTCAGTCCCATAGCCAGCGAGGGGCAGAGCCAGCATTCAAACCCAGAGCATATTTGAACACGGCTTCTACTCTGCAAAGACCCAGCATTCTTTCAAGGCCACTGGGGGCTCAAGAGACCAACAGGGTGGCCACGTTATTTGTGTGTGTTCTGGGACTCTCAACAGATTGAGAGAGCTTCCTGAAACTGCAAAAGCAATAAACCTTCATGTTAAAAGCAGAGAGGGGCTCTGGGTTCAAATCCTGACTCTGAAGCTTCATTGTCACGGCACCTAGCAAGCCCAGGTTTTTCTAACTGTGGAAGGGCAGTCGCAGGATTCACCCCGGTAGGTAGCTGTGGGGACTGAATGAGATGATGCACTTAAAGTTCTTAGCACAGGACCTGGTGCATGGCCATCTATCAATACAGGGCAGCCATTGTGGGGATTTTTCTGAGCTTGTAGGAAGCAGAGCCCCTCAGCCTGGGTGTCATGCCAAAGTACCAAAGCCAAAAAGGGTTTTCAAAGGAGGAACCAGGAGGAAGGACCCAGATTTTAAAAGGAGAAAGAAAAGGAAAGCGGTTGGGAGCACCGTGGGTGCCAGGTGCAGAACTAAGACATTTGATTGTGATTTCAGCTTGAACCCTTGAGAACCAGAATACAGTTGAGCCATTCTAGGAAGATTTTCTGAATTTGTCATAACAGGTGTGGAGAAAGAGCACACAAACACGCATGCACACCCACACAATTTTCTACCAGGTCAAGACAAAACAAACAAACAAAAACACACATACACACATTCACAGTACTTTGGTCCAACATAGCTCTGCTATTGGTGCTGAGCACGGTTACCCAGAGCCAAGGCAGGAAGCTGAGGGTCCTTGAGAAAGGTAAGAGGCCCTTCCCAGCCCAGCAGGAGGCACCGTGCTAGGGTGTGCAAGGCAAAGGCAGGGGCACCACAAAGAGCCCTGGCTTTGCAGGGAGGGCTGGTGCCCCTGGGGCCCTTGCGGCTGCCTCTCTATTTGAAAGCAGGAGTTTTAACCGCGGCGTCCTATTCATGAAAAACAAAAATCCTTCATTTATCTGTAAACACTGCTGACACCTAAATACCGTAGAGAGACTCAGCAAATAAAGTCAGCGCGTTTCAGAAGTGCCTTCTAGGATTATACCCAAACCAAAGACTGAATGAGTCAAGGGAGAAAGGAGAAGGGTGTGCACAGGGTTAACCTTCCCCTAACCCTTTCCCTCCCACCCGAGACCCAGGAGAAGGCGGGGGAAGAAACGCTGGGAATTTCAGGTGTGCCCTGAACCTCGTGCCCGGGGGAGAAACACGGCAGAAACCAGCGGACACTCCCCCCTCTCCAGGGATGTGGGCGCTTTCCAGGATGGTCCAACCGCTCCAGCGTCCTAGCGCATCCCGGGCGGAGAACCGACTCTCCTCGCTCGGCTGCGGGAAAGACCTTACTTTCCAAGACCAGCTGCGAGCTTACGGATCCGGGACTACCCAGTTCACCCCCAGGTTCCCGGTTTGCTGCCTCGCGATTTCCTGAGCCTCCCGGTGAAGCCCAGCCTGGAGGGTCCCCCTTAACAAAAGGTTCGCGGGAGAGCGCGTCGCTGCGCAGCGCAGCGCTGCGCAGCGCTGCGCATCCGCCCCGCGGTGAAAGCCCCGCTGCGGGGGCGCTCCCCTTGGTGCGCTCCCCGCGATCCCCTGAGCTCCCACGACCACCGGCTCCAGCGCACGGATCCCCAGCTGTGCCCCCCTTCCAGCCGAGTACTCACTTCTCCCCAGTCCCTCTGCTGTCCACGCCGTCTCCTCCACCGCCCCATAGCGCCTCAAAGGCTTCTCGGTTTCCAGATGGGTGGACAAAGATTGCTTTAACTCCATCGCTGATCCCCGCGGGCAGGTCGACGGGTCCCCCCTTTACTCCATCCCCGCCGCGGGTTGCAGGGAGGGAGGCGGCTCCAGCCAGCAGCGTTTTAAGGGGCCGGGCGCTCGTGACGCTGCTCCATCTCTTCCGCCGCCAGGGCCGGGGAGCGCCGACTGGTACCCTGCAGGGGGAGGGATGCAGGGCGCATGCGCAATGGAGGCGGGAGGGGGGGGCTTGGGGGTTGGGTAGAGAGAAAGAGGGGCAGATGATAACTCTAAGAAGCGCAACAGACAAACAACAACTAAAATAGAACCAAACCAAAGGAAGTAAAAAAACAAGGCCCCTGCTCATGCTGGAGCCGGTGGTGATGCTTTGCCAGGGCACGCTATGCTGCTTGTGATCTGTCAGGGCTGCTAGGTTTTGAGTGGGATTGGTGAGCGCATCTCTAGCTGTGGGCGGTGGATCCATCTTTGGTGGCGAGTGTGCAGAAGCCTGAGTGTGGACTTGAATCTGTGGGTTCTGGGCTGGGTCGAGTGCATTTTTGTGAGAATCTCTAGGGTTTGCTTCTGCGTGTGTAACTGGAATTATGAAATGGGACAGTCTTGTTACGCAGGTGCCCCGTGTCAACTCCGTAGGTGTTTGCATGAACTTGAGAGAGACAGGAACGTACTTTGGACACAGTTATAACACAGTTTATATATATAACACAATTATAACAAAGCTGTTTGGAACACGGGTCTCTACTTTCCAGAAACTCAGGGGTTAACACAGCAGGGCAGCATTGAAAGTACAAAGTAAAATCAGCAGCTAGATTGATAAAAATTAGTAAGAGTTTATTTAATGAGGTCTAGGTGCTAAACACTTCCTAATAACTGTGGGAAACAGATACTATTTTGTCGGCCTTGTTTTACACAGGATGAAACTGAGGTGCAAAAAATGATTTGCTCCAAGTCCCACACTTACCAAGTGGCCTGGTCAGCAATTGAATCCAGACTTAGCCTCTTTCTTATACTGACGCCTTTACTGCACTGATATGGTGTTTTGTATGGCAGGAGGGGTAGGAAAGACCCTATAGGATATGAGTTGTTTGTTTGTTGTTTGTTGTTGCTTTTAAGATGTCATCTGGGGCAATTTTTGGTATCCATTTGGCTTGTGGAAAAGTGTAGCATGGCCTACCTGTTTGAGAAAATTATTTAGCCACTGGTAGTAAGTGTCCTTAAAAAGTTATCAATAGGGGTGCCTGGGTGGCTCAGTCAGTTGAGTGTCCAACTCTTGGTTTCAGCTCAGATTGTGATCTCAGGGTCGAGGGATTGAACCCCACATTGGGCTCTGCTCTCAGCAGGGAGTCTGCTCGAGGATTCGCTCCCTCTGCCCCTCCACCCACAGAGGCACTCTTTCTCTCTCTCAAAATGAATGGATAAATCTTTTTTTAAAAAAGTTATTATCGATAATCAACTTCTAAATAGCCCATGAGAGAAAAAGGAAGTAAGAATGAAAATCATAAAATATTTAGAGCCGAATAACCATGAGAGTACCATATATCAAAACTTGTAAGTTTTGGTGGAAGTAAATGTGTAGCCATAAATGCCTGCATTAAACAAAATGGGTGATGGACATTGGGGAGGGTATGTGTTGAAATGAGCACTGGGTATTATATAAGACTGATGAATCACAGACCTGTACCCCTGAAACAAATAATACATTATATGTTAATTAATTGAATTTAAATAAAAAAATAAACTCCAACTGACTCTTAAAAAAAATGTAAGACTAAAAATAAGTGGGTAAGGATGAATGGATAAGCAAAACATGGTCTAGCCATACAATGGAATACTGTTTGGCCTTCAAAAGAAGGGCATTCTGCAATATGTTACAACACGGATGAACCTTGAGGACATGATGCTAAGTGAAATAAGCCAGTCACAAAAAGACGGATATGGTGTGATTCCAGTTACACGAGGTATTTAGAGGAGTCAAATATCATAGAGCTAGAAAGTAGAATGTTGGTTGCCAGGGGTCTGGGTGAGAGGAGAATAGAGAGTTATTGTTCAATAGGTATAGATTTGCGGCTTTACAAGACGAAAAGAGTTTTGGGGAAGGATGGTGGTGATGGCTGCAAAAAATGAATGAGTTTAATACCACTGACTATACTCTTAAAAATGGTTAAAATGGTAAAAAAAAAAAAATGGGTTAAGTGTTCAACTCAAAAGACTTTAATAAAAAAGAACATATGGGGTGCCTGGGTGGCTCAGTTGGTTAAACATCTGACTCTTGATTTTGCCTGAAATCAGGATCTCAGGTTTGTGAGATCAAACCAGCATCGGGCTCCATGCTCAGCACAGAGTCTGCTTGAGATCCTCTTTCTCTCCCTGTCCCCCTGCCCCTCCACCCCTCTGTCTCTCTCTAAAATAAATAAATAAAATCTCTTTAAAAAAAAAATAAAAAAGAACAGATAAAACCTGTGGAGTAGAAAAAAGAAAATAATAATGACAGCATAAAAAATAGAAAACCCAGAAGCAATAGAGGAGAGCCACAAAACCACAAGCTGATTCCTTGGGAGGAATATACTAATAAAGAAGGCAAAACTCTCAAGAATCACCAGGATAGGCACTCATGAGTAATATTAAGAATGAAAAGGGATACATAATACAAATACAGGTAGGTTTTTTTAAATTGGTTGAAAGAGATAAATTTCTTTAAGAAGTAAACTACTAAAATGTACTTAAGAAATAAAAAAAAATCAATAATCATTACAAAAACTTACACATATCATATATACAAATTCCAAGAGGGGGAGAGGGAGAGAGAGAATCCTTAAGCAGACTCCCCACTGAGTGCAGACCCTGACTCAGGGCTCAATCCCAGGACCCTGAGATCAAAACCAAGAGTCAGCCGCTTAACCAGTTGAGCCACCCAGGCACCCCAAAAGCTGAGTTCTTAATATAAAAATTTATGTTCCTCCTTAGTCCCACAAAGGCATCAGGCCCAAACAGTTTTATAGGTGAGCTTTAACAAAATACCAGATAATCCTTATTTCATAAAAATTGTTTCAGAGCTCATTTTATGAGGACAATATATGACCTTGATATCAAAACTAGATTAAAATGGTACAGTAAAAGAATTCTAGAGTGAGCTCACCTATAAACACAGGTACAAAAATTCTAAATATTAAAATACATTGCAAACAAATGAGGTTTATTTCAAAAATGTAGTAATGTCCCAGTATCAGAAAATCTATTGATATAATATACCATATTAACAGATTTAAAAAAACCTGTTGGATTACCTTAATGGATACAGAAAAAGCATTTGAAAAAATTAGCAGTCACATATATGTCTTTTTTTTTCTTAGCAAATTAAGAATAGAAAATCATTTCCTTAACCTTCTTGAGAGTAATTATCAAAAATCAAGAGCAAACATTCAACATTTACTGTTGAACCTCTGTACCTGATCATTAAGGTCAGGAACAAAGCAAGGATGCCTGTCATCTCCACTTTGAGAGATCCTAGCCTAGTTAGATAGGAAAAATAAATGAGGCATAAGAACTGAAACAGAAGAAACAAAACTTTCTTTTTCAGACACTATAATTGCCTATATAAAAATGCAAGCAAAAAGAATGCAAGCACATCCACATGAAAGGTATTAAAATTAATAAGGCTAAGTTTTTGGAAACAAGATAAACATACACAAATAGTAATATTTCTGTACATTATTAATCAAACTTAAGGTTATAATCAAAATAACAAAAAAAACCCTCAAGAACCTTTGAGGAGAAAATTATTATTTTGTGTCAACTGGGACTATTAATTACTGATTTTTATGTTACATTGCTAAACAACATAAAAAATGAACTGAAAAAATGAAGAGATAGATATGTCACATTCAAGGGTACAAAAGGATAAGTCTCATTAAGATGGCAATTCTCTTCAGTGATAACTGTAGTTGAAATCTTCATAGGGAATAAGACTTTAAAATAAACCTGGCAGTGGGGCACCTGGGTGACAGTCAGTTAGAGTCTGTCTTTGGCTCAGGTCATGATCTCAGGGTCCTGGGATCGAGTCACACATTGGGCTCCATGCTCAACAGGGAGTCTGCTTCTCCCTCTGCCCCTCCCCCTGCTCATGCACTCACGTTCGTGCGTGCGCGCTCTCTCTGTCAAATAAATAAATAAAATATTTTTTTAAAAACCTATTGTGAAACCTTAAGACATAAGAAAATCAAGAGCCTCCAGATAGACCCACATGTATTTGGAAAGCTGGTATGTGACAGAGGTGGCATTACCAATGAGTATAGAATGGATAGACTCTTTACTAAATGGTGGTGAGGTAGTTGCCTAACAAAATGGAAAACTAAAATAAAAATGTCAACCTTGAACTTCCTATCATATATACACATATCACATACACATATCATATATACAAATTCCAGGTAGATTAAAGACCTGAATGAGAAAAAGCAAAATTTTTAAAATGTGTAACATCACATAGAAGAATATCTTTATTCTTTTGCAGTGGAAACTTATGTTACCTAAGACCCCAAAACACAAACCTTAAAGAAAAAGATTAAGTTTGACTCTATTAAATATTTTTAGTGAGGTGACAGTCACATTAACCTAAAATTAACCATTTTGAAGTGAACAATTCAGTGGTATTGTCCTTTCCCAGTGTGGTACAATCCCCACCCCATCTCATGCCAAAACATTTCATTACATTTTCAGGAGACTTCCATGCCCATTATGTAGTTATCCCATATTCCCCCTCCTTCCAGCTCCTGGCAACCACCAGTCCTTTCTTTCTCTATGAACTTAACCTGTTCTGGACATTTCACATGAATGAAATCAAACACTATGTGACCTTTGTGTCCAGCTTCTTGTTCTTCACATATTGTTTTTTTTTCTAAAGATTTATTTATTTGAGAGAGCGAGAAAGAGAGAGAGAGAGAGTACATGAGAGGGGGGAGGGTTAGAGGGAGAAGCAGGTTCCTCGCCGAGCAGGGAGCCCGATGCGGGACTCGATC